TTCTCAGATATACAAATTATATTATATAGCAAATATATAATTTTGTGTCTTTTTTACTTGATATGAAATGTATAAATTCATACATGTTGATATATATACAGCTCTTATTTATTTTGACTGTTTATTTTAACATTTGCTATTATAAAAAACTAGAGGCCCAGTACATGAAATTCATGCATGGGGGGGGGGTTCCCTCAGCCCAGCCTGCACCCTCTCCAATCTGGGACCCCTCAGGGGATGTCCGACAGCTGATTTAACTGGCAATTGGACATCCCTCTCACAATCCTGGACCGCTGGCTCCTAATCGCTCACCTGCATGCCTGCCTGGTTGCCTCTAACTTCCCTCCCCCCCGCCAGCCTGATTGCCCCTCACTGCCTCTGTGTGCCAGCCTGACCACCCCTAACTGCCCCCCGCCCCCCCCCAGCCTGCTCACTAACCCTCCTGCAGGCCTGGTCGCCCCACGCAGCCTGCTTGTTCAGTCGTTTGGTCATCCCTCACTAACCCTCCTGCAGGCCTGGTCGCCCCACGCAGCCTGCTTGTTCAGTCGTTTGGTCATCCCTCACTAACCCTCCTGCAGGCCTGGTCGCCCCACGCAGCCTGCTTGTTCAGTCGTTTGGTCATCCCTCACTAACCCTCCTGCAGGCCTGGTCGCCCCACGCAGCCTGCTTGTTCAGTCGTTTGGTCATCCCTCACTAACCCTCCTGCAGGCCTGGTCGCCCCACGCAGCCTGCTTGTTCAGTCGTTTGGTCATCCCTCACTAACCCTCCTGCTGGCCTGGTCATAGGCAGCCATCTTGTGAAGGTGTGAGTGTTAATTTGCATATTACCTCTTTATTATATAGGATACTACAGTGAACATTCTTGTACACATGCAAGAATTTCTTCATAGAATATGTGTATTTTTAACTTTGATAGATAAGACTAAGGTATTCTCAGAGTAAGTGTATAAACTTGTACTCCCACAAGTATCTTGTGAGAATTCCAGCTTCTCACACTTAATTTTTGTCAATCTGATGGGTGTAAAAATTGTATTTTATTGTTGCTTTAATTTCCATTTCCCTGTTTCTCATGCATCCTCTTCTATGAATTGCTCATTTAATTTTGAACCAATGTTGATTCAACAAGCTGTGTCTATTACATGTATTTTGGTTGTATATCAGTGGCCAGGTCTGTTCAAATACCTTCACACCAAGTAAAAAAGCAGTAACTCTGAACAAGGGGATCCTGGATTTTCCTCCAGGAGCCAGAAAATGTAGTGGTGGTGACTCTCACATGGGTTTAGGATATCAGAGGAAAATGTTAGATAGTGACGTAAATGCAAATGGTTCTCTCTTTCTCTGAGAGTTTAATTTACTTTGACAGGGGGGAATAAAAACTAACATTTTACTCCACTGTCCTTAGCATGTTTAATCTCTGTCTCTCTTCCAGTCTTCCCCTGTGTGTGTTTTTATCTCTCTCTGACATAAACTTACACACAAAATCTGTGTTAAATACAATGAAAAGTGCATACATAAAAATGTGTATTAAATACAATGCAAAAATGACACTCGAAATAGGAAGCTGCCTCATTGACAGATTAATGAAAAATAAAAGGATCAATTTTCCCATCAGCCATCAGTAAAGATAAGAAATTTTCAAGTAACCTAATATGCTTCACAATGCACACAGTATTCATGTGAGAAAAACATATGTTAATATAATTTCATCAGTTTTATACATAAGTTGTGATTCATTTCAATATCAAAATATTTTGATAGATCTTCCTCAGTGGGGGAAAAAACACTATATTTATTGCAACAGTTAAAAATTATGAACACCAATTTCAAAACTAATTTCATATAATAGAATTTTTCCAACAAAATCCTGTTTTAAGGAATCTCACTAAATTTGACATAATATTATTTCTTGGCTTCTTTAACATCTACTGTCAGATGTCTTGTTATAGATAGTTGTAGATTCTACATTTCAACAGCATTAGAACTCTCCAAAAGGTGTAGCCTTTTAGGACTATTACAATATAGAGCAGTACTGTCCAGTAGAGCTTTCTATGATAATGGAAATGTTCTATAACTCTGCTGTCCAATGTGGTAGCCAATAGCCACATCTTATAATAACTATTTGAAATGTGGCTTGTATGACTGAGGAATTGAATTTTAATTTGAGTTATTTTAATTGTTTTGAATTAATTAAACAGCCACATGTGGCGGATTATTTCTGTATTGAACAGCACAGATTTAGTGTAATCTAGAGAAACTTCCCTTTTATCTAGCCATAAACATTGGTCACTAACTGTACTAAGCAGCTAATCAGTACTGGACAGTCTCTGCTCTTGGGTAAGAGGTCACAAAACTCCTCAGCACCATTATTTTTCTGCTGGCCATTTGGATATTTATATCATTTGAGGGCCATCAACTTAAAAATTAGCCTGCTATATTTGGTCAAACATTTCATTAACTCACCCTTGATGCCTTGGTGAGGGCAGACCAAAAGATTTCACAGGCCTTATACGGCCTGCAAGCCGGATGTTCCCCACCCCTGATTTATACAAAGGAGACTTAGGAAACTTTGAAAGCTCCTCTTGGTAGAGCAAAGAATAAGTGCCATGGACAGTGTGAGAAAAGCCGGTGATCTAGAACCAGATGATAGCAAATCACATTTGTCTCTTTGTTTCCCATGCCCCTAAGGCAGAGCCTGCTTTTATTTTCTGATATTTATTATAATAAAGTTAGTGTTTATCATTTCAATACCCATTTACACACTATTACTACATGTGAGAAAATAACTCTATTTTTACATGTTCTCAGATATACAAATTATATTATATAGCAAATATATAATTTTGTGTCTTTTTTACTTGATATGAAATGTATAAATTCATACATGTTGATATATATACAGCTCTTATTTATTTTGACTGTTTATTTTAACATTTGCTATTATAAAAAACTAGAGGCCCAGTACATGAAATTCATGCATGGGGGGGGGGTTCCCTCAGCCCAGCCTGCACCCTCTCCAATCTGGGACCCCTCAGGGGATGTCCGACAGCTGATTTAACTGGCAATTGGACATCCCTCTCACAATCCTGGACCGCTGGCTCCTAATCGCTCACCTGCATGCCTGCCTGGTTGCCTCTAACTTCCCTCCCCCCCGCCAGCCTGATTGCCCCTCACTGCCTCTGTGTGCCAGCCTGACCACCCCTAACTGCCCCCCGCCCCCCCCCAGCCTG